CTTTTGTTCTTTTGCTCTTTCTTCAACTCATCCTTTCTTCCTACTATTATCTTGTTTTTTTTTTTAATTTCGTGCTGCATTGTGGCATTGTGGCATGTTGCAATAGTGTCTGCATTATTGAAGGCATTGAATTATTAAGGATTACATTGTATCCATTGCATCGCTGCACAGGTCTGCGAGTCTACAGAGGAAATGCTAACTTGTTAGGGCGTAGATATATCATTTAGAAATCGGACATGCTCAAATGACAGCGGAAATGAATTCAACTTGAGTTGGATTCTCTGCTTGCCTCAATTTTACGAGCTCAAAGCGAGCCGTTTAAGTAGACAATTTGAAAAATTACAAAAAAAATTACAGACATTCTTTTTATAAATTTCAGTATTTTTTTCCGAATGAACCTAGTTTTCAAATGGAAACGTTGCAAAATGGGTTATTTAGTGAATACTTAAGTGAAGTTGTGATTTCTGCAATTACATTTTATGGCAGTAAATTAACACTGCACGAGAAAAAAGTGATTATATCCAGATCATGACTGAATCCACTGAGATTTCTGCAACAATCAATTATGATTGGACAACTTCGAGCTAAAAGCATACAGCGTACAGACAATTATATATATCTGTGTCGATTTATAGATAAATAAACTTTTCTGTATTGTAATTTATTCTTCAATACTCGCCACAAGATCTGATACTGAAAACTTTACTCTTCAACATTGAAATATCATCATCATTTTGCTATCAAGTCTTGGTATGCTAATAAAATAATGAAATTATTCTCCTGCACAACTTTTTTCATTTGCAATTAGTATTATTAAGTGAACTTGAACATTAGAATATAGAAAGATAAGGGATATTAAACCGTAACAATTGCTGAGCTATTAAAAAACATGTCCAACTGAGCCCGTGCGAATCGTGGAGTAACATTAGCATGACTTTCTCAGTATTACGTTCATGGATTAGGTTCTATACATAACAAAGAATATATAAATCATGCAACAACTAAGTACGGCTTTGGTTCAGTTGGTTAAGGAGCGCTGACTGCTGACTCTGAGCTTTAAATTTGGCAGGGCACGAATTCGATTTCTTGTACTTGCAATCTCAAAAAACTATTTACGTATAATTAAATACAAGAATTATTTCCAAGACCACTGATGATGAGTATTTGGCAATAGTCGAAACAGCTGTATAGTCAGCCAAAAGTTCTATTATTTCAAATAATATCACATGAATTTTTGTTATTGTAGTTCACTACTGTTCGAAAACCTCGATATATAATAATTTAAATTTGCAAACAAACAAATATTCTTACCAAATAAACTACAATAATTATTCTATTTATTACCACATGTAATAGATATTAGATAGTTAGTTATATGATCACTCTAGGACTGCATTTATTCAATTGTTTTTAAGTCAGCAACTATATATTATTAATAACAGAGTATTGATACAACGCAACTAGACCTATGATTCAATTCTTGATAGAAGTCTACTACTTAATCCATAAATTAAGAATATTAACGAGTCTAAAGGGATCTTTCTATTTCTATTTAGTACTCCACCCTTCTGTCCTCGATTGAAGTCCACTTCTTAAACTCATAGATTTACACTATTAATAAGTCCTGAAGTATCTTTATATTTTACTACTCCAGTTTGAGTCTGAATTCAGTCTGAATAATTAAAAATAATTATTTTTAATAATAAAAAATTAATAAAGTAATAATAAAAAATAATAGAATAATAAAAAGCACATAAATTAAACATACGTCGTACAATCTCACAACATCATTATATCGGAATACTAATATTTAGCATACTAATTAGTTATGATGTAGTATAGCAAATGCTGAAGCTTGTACCCTTGAGATGCGTACATAAAAATAAAACGTAAAAATAACTGTTAAGATACTTAAATACCAGTTTGGTGTGGTAAATGAATTAATAAGAAACAGATTTTTCTTTAGCAATCCGCAAGCAATGAGAGCGTTAATGAGTAGTACCACTAGCCAGCCATTCGCTTGACTTATTCTTTATTTACACTGCTGACTCTGACTCTGACTCTGACTCCTGTAATCAGTACGAGTAAGAGCTCCATCAATCTGTTGCTATGAAAAGTGCTGTTAAGCAGTAGCAGTTCGAGCACTCCAGCAAATGGCGTATCGTGGATTTGCAATTAGTTAACCCAAAAGAAGCTAGAAGAAGCAGTTGAACTTTTTTAACTGATCTGTCTGTATTGTATTCAATCATGCAATCTTTCTGCCTGTATTTTTTAGTTTTTAGTTTTTAGTTTCGCAATTTTTAATACAACTAATAGTGTATTTAATAATTTTATTTTCATTTTTCCGTTTTTCAATGCTCTTTGAGCAAGTGCCTAATTCACTTTTAACATGAACGAATTACAGCATTTCTTCCGCTTTTAGTAATAACTCATTTTAGAGCAGCCGAATCAACAGAATCAACAGAATCAACAGAATCTACAGAATCAACACAATCAACGGCAGTACCTTCAAGTCAAGACAGGTACCTCCGTCAAGCTTAATTAGGAATTTTAATATGACATCTCATCAGCTAAACTAGATTGCAGCTGATCACGTTATGAGCAAATGTCCCACAGTTAATGCGTGCCTTATCAAGGGTAATAGGCTTTTTAAGCGAAACAGAAGTGGTAGCCGCTACAAGAACGAACTCGGTTGGGAAAATGAAATTAAATTAATAATCGTTGCAGTAAAAAATAAGATAAACTGTTTATATACGCACAAACCACTGCCTCAGCACTTGCGTCTTCACGCATATTAACTTCTTCAGCACTCGCGTGCAACATCCAGAGGTGCTCCTTTACATTGCGATTATTATTAGTTTTAGCTGTCGGAACGACATTTGTCAACAACAGTAAAATTCGCTGTTCATACACTGAATCGTGACGGAGCATCACTATTACTGCCCGGGCAGGCACTGTAAATGCTCATTTTCTTAATAGTGCAATCAATGACTGTGCAGTTACGGTAGACGCCAGCGGGAATCAATTCCTGACAGTTCAAAAGATTAATTGCACCATGAAGTCCCAATAATTTGTGTTAAGATCTTTTAATGAGCAATAACAATTAACTGCAAATGATTCTATACTCCTGCAAGTGAAATTATCAGGATATATCTATATCATTAAGTAAAATAATATTATGAAAAGAACAAAAATTAATCTCGGTAATATTGGATATATCATACATATAAAATGTTAATATAACTTCTACTTTGCAACTATTCACTATCCTCTATTCACAACTTCACTATTGCAAACGTCTATATAATTTTCTTATTGAACAAAACCGATATTTTGATTTTTGAAATTTTTTTTACAAAAAATCATCAGTTTAGAATTATCAGGATCAATAAAGTCCTTAACATTACTGGACGCATTAAATGCAACTTTTAGGCTTATCAGGATTTATATTTATTAAAGTATGGAAAGAATACATTTATTGTTTCTAGGCTCTATTGTTACTATGAAGTCATCTGATTCCAAAAATAATTCTTTTAAATTAAAAGAAGTTTTTTTTTACCATGAAGACATTATTAAACCAATTTTCTTCTAAGATAAGTTTGGTTTGATGATAACAATTAATGTAGCTTGCTATCCTGACATGTTAAACTAATTTGCTTCACCTTAATTCGAAGATATAGATGTGAACAACATATGGTTTCAAGAGATTAATGGCACATGTCGTCGTGATTCCAGGTCGAGTCATTTTCTGTTATGGTGACTATGTTTGGTGACATAGATGATGTCTTTAAACACTGTTGAACTTTTCAATTTTAATTTTTTTTTTGGTATCTTTTGAAGTTCAACATTTATGCCAACAAGCCTTTATCGCAGGACCGATGTACCGACTATATTTTGCTTCACATCTACAGAAAGATTACTGAAATTTTCAGAAATAGTGTAAAATGGGTGGATCCATACATAAACTATTCCATACATAATCTGTACTATTGATATCAACAACCCAAAAGAACGTTCTAAAGATACTTCGTACATGCATATTTGGTCTTCACTCCAAATTATGAAGACCCTTAATTATGTTCAGTATATAAACAGATTTATTTGGCTTGTAAAAGAAGATGTTCAAGAAAGAGTCTTTGCAATAACTGAATGATGTATCAGCTGTAAACTACAGCCACTATAAAGTCATTATAACTGTGCATCTATAAATAAATGCAATCATAGTTCCACAATTTCTTGTTACGTGTGAGCTGATCTAACACAGACTCCTACAAAGTCCAATTGTTTCGCTACTGTTCCCACAGTTAAACGGCTCTGCTCTTCTCCGTGCGCTCGCCTCATTAAAGTGGCGCTATTCACTTAATTTGCTTTCGAGAGCCACCGCCACTTCCTCACTCAACTGCAATTAGTCGCGTTTAATATGGTAAAATGGTGAGGAAAATAAAAAAGCATTTAATCTCAGTGCATGCAATGGACGGGCGAGTATCCGCAGCTGCGAATATTTATGTACTGTCCGTTTGTATTTATGTATTCATGTTTAGCGTAGATCATTTTTTCTTCATTTCGTATGGCTAATGTTATTAACCGCTTCGGACCGCACATTGCTTTCTGTTGCCAATAACGTTGGCAGCGGCTGTGGCCAGTGTTGTTGGCCCGATGTGTGATACTGCCTCCTGGCTACTAGCAACAACGTAACGGATGCTTTGAATCATTAACATTTGATATAATCACTATAATCATTTTCATTAAGCGGCATCATTGTTATTTTAATATTATTTTTCTTATAATTTCAACGTTTATGAGACAAATTCCTAATCGCCGCAATAAAAGAACAATTTTCTCTCCTCTTCTGATGTGAATTGTAAATATGTATTTTCTTTCTTTCTGCGCGGTATGACTATAATACCAAGAAAAGTTATAATCATTTTGTTCAGTTTATTCCCATTTTTTGTCTTCTATTAAGATTGGACTGACTGACGATTCTGTTTGTTTATTTTCAGTTAATTGCGGAAACAATGCTTGTTTTTCAAAGGAAAACTCAGGCGGCATTTAATCGAATGAATTTAAATTAAATGCTCGAAGAAACGGCTGTGAGAAGAAATCGTAAAGCTAGAATATCGCAATAAGAACGAATCCAATACAAATTGGAACATTCTCGGCAATTGGGAAAGTTACTTTCATAACTGAGCCAAAGTCAGTATTAGCCAGGCCAGGCCAGGTATATACTGCGGCGCATGCGTAACTAAAAAATTCTTTCGCCAAGTGACACAATTTCACAAAACTCACAAATCCACAAATTCACATATTTTACGCTATTGTGTTAAATTAAACGATTCGGAAAAAAACGTCTACACAAACTTCTATACAAAATAGAAGTAATATTCCCAAAAAAGATAAAAGTTGAAAGCTGAAAGCTGAAAGCTGAGAGCTGAATTTTTTGTTTACACATTCGAACGCCCGCAGCATGTTTTGGCGGTTCACCAGCATTTTGGCACTCGCACTACTGTTGGGCGTTGTGCCAGCACAATTGGACGCCTTCGTCACACAATCAACAGGTAAGCTCACAGTTACACAAACTGCCATTTAATCAACCATTCATTCAATGCTTCATTCGTTCAATATATCTCATTAATTTATTCATTTTCTCATTCTCTCAAAGCCTAGCAAAGCATAACAAAGCAGACGCCTAATTTTAAATTCTGTATGAATGTCAAATTTACTGTGCGTAGTCTGTGGTCTGCGAGCGGGACTGGCATGTGGACTGCTCCCCATCACATATCCAATAATTTGACTTCATTTGTTGGATTTGAGGTGCGCTATCTGAGCCATTATTATTCAGCCACCTTTGCGGCTGAATAATGTGTAGTAGCCGTCAACTGTGCCAAGCACATCAAATTGACTGATTAATTAACGAAGCTATTTTGAGCTCTTAATGAAGTTCTTCTCTTCTCTGCTTACGATTACAGCTCAATTGTGCTTATAAAATATACAAGATGGACTGTTAAAGCTTTAAGTGTCAGTGTCAGATAAACAACAAATAAATCAAATTAATGAATCAATACATTTTGGCACAATTCCGATTTAATAGATACCGGAATTTGTCAACAGTTTTGAGTACATATTTCCTTGAGCGATCTTTTCCCCTAATCTATATGGTGATATATTTTATGGTGATATATAATTTTGAAGTTGTATGTACCATCGCTAGCGCAACTACCTTCTCTTAAGATAGTGCACACGCCTGTATCCCTCGATAGTGCACAGCTGTTTAACCACTCTCTCATAGATGTCTCTCGTAGATGTCCCTCGTTGCCATCCCGGGATGGTGGTCGTATACTTAGAGCCGGCTTATAGTAGGCACAACTCAGAAGCTTCTCAGGGTTTTTGTGACCTTTTAAGCCACGCCCTCCGACGCCTGGCTGGATTTTACTTGCCTCTTACAACAGGCATGCCTTACCGCGAAAATATTGTAGCCCCTATCCCGCAAAGGTATTGAACAATAACATAGGGTGCACCTATATACAATCACTATAAAAATTACATATACTACTTTGCCGCAAAAAAATATTAGCAAATCGAATGGATTTGGTTTTAAATTGGTTTAAAAAATGATTCGGCTGCCAAAAGTGTGTGATTTTTGTATTGGTTTATAGTAAAATTTGAAAACCATTATTAGATTTTTAGATGATTTTGTATTATTGTTATGAACAGACTCTATTATTATAAAAAGGTGATATTGCATCGCAGCCTTAAGATCTACTTAAGACTTTAAGCGACTCGCCTCATACTATCTCTTCAATCTCCCTCTCTCTCTCTCTCTATTTCTCTTCTGGAGTCGATTCTCAGTTTTTTTAGCAAGTGTTTCAATTCACAATTTCTTTATGTAATTTTAAAATTATTTTTCGTTAAGTTAAAACCTTCCTTATACCGACTAAGGGTCACTTAGTCATTTATTATTTAGTATACCTGTTTGGTTTTGGTAGCAAGATTTTCTTTGTTTTTCTTTTCTAATAATTAGGAGATTGCTTCTCTTTCCCAGTTCACAGAAGCATTCTGGACCACAAGTTGTGATAGCCAATATCTCTGCCTTTTCATTATTTTCGATCCTAACATGCGCCGAACTCATGAATTAACAATTACTTATATTGCTTATTCTAAGTCAAATGATAAAATAATGGTTCCAAGATTTCTCGTGGTAATTAAGTAAAAGTAAATGGCAGTAATGATATCATTTGAGTTGCAAACAGAACAATAAACAAAAAATTAAACAAAAATAAAAAATAATTAGTAGAGCCAGCAACAATAGCTGCCCAAAGACTTTCTCTGGCCAACGGAACGATTGGTATCGCTTAGTCCTTCATTGCAATTATTGCACTAACTTCGTCTTTACTTTAATTCCATATTATTATTATTATAGCGAGTACTCCTTTATCACGGTGTATTTTTTATAATACAGTTTATCTGTAATTCAACAGCACAAAAGTCAGTGAAATGCTAACCCGACAGTTAACATAATCTTTCAACCATAATTACCTGAATTAATTTCTGTCCTAGATTTGAGCTTCTTTATGTGATGACTACGACAACTACGATGGCTACGATGGCTACGATGGCTACGATGGCTACGATGATTGCGATGATTGCGATGACTGCGATGACGGCGTTGACGGCGATGATGGCGGTGACTGCAGTCGCGAAGATTTTCAAGATATCTGTTTCTCTGCTGCTCCCATTGTTACAGTTTATAAGATTTTTTTCTTTCTATTAATTTTTTCACATAAATTTTTTTTCTATCTTTTATGTGCATTGCAGATTGAATTCCCACAATCGCACAATAAAAGAATTTGGCACAACATAAGATACAACAACAAAGTGACAACAGAATTACAAATCGCACACTTGAACCATTTTTAATGAATTCAGACAAATAATCTACAAAAATTATATATAAAAGAATATTAGAAAAAAAAAATTTTTTTTAAAGCATTAAAAAAAAAATGGTTAATGTCTAGAATGTCTAAACTTGCGAAGAACAGCAACAAAGGGCGATTAACAGCAACTAACTTGGTCAGTAGATTCTTTCACTTCGACTGAATTGAGAGCCAAGAGATGTGGTTTAAATGATAATGGAAAAGACACCATTGAAGTGAAATATATTATAGAATGATCAAAAAACGCTATATACCTATTTTGAATTTCTCTCTTAGTAAATTGATTGTGGCACCACATCTGAAACATGCTGATCCACCTTGTTAAAACCATAACTTATATTGTCCAAGCCAAAGTCATCAAACTAATGTCACAAAAAAGAAGTAACCATGTCTTCATTTACAAAAAGAAACTGTCACATTATAGATGTAAAGGTGTTTCAAGAAGAACATATGGGTTTGCACACTCCAAATGCCACAACTTCGCGCATTTATAAAACCATTTACTTAGAAAGAGGTTTCATCAATGAACATAGTTTTTCCATGAAATAATAAATCGGTTTGACTTAAAATGCAAAACCTTATAAAATATATTCCAAGTGGTATCACAAGGAAGTCTCATTGCTTGAGACCGTCTTATTGCTTGTCAGGAATTTTACTTTTACTTTGACTATCAGTACTTTCAGGAATGGTTTTGCATTGTGGGTGTATCGAATTCCTATCATCGCAAACCCTATCAATTGGTCATCATTTTTGACACGCTTCCAATTTCCTAGATTTAGTAAATTTTAATATTCTAGAATACTTTTTTCATTAAATTATCTATTGATTCGTTCGCAAGATATAGTTCTCTATACTGAAAGTAAATGAATTGAGCGCAAATATTTTCCTTTTACAAACATGAAAGGTTTTCGATAACTTTGATATTTAATTACCGACAATATTATTAGGGTAAAAAATTTAGTAGTATCTGAACGGTTCGTATAATGTACATAGAATATTTATTTTGTTTAATTTACAATTGAAGGTAGTTTTAACAATTAATTGATGCGACTATTTAACCATTATCATTATTATTATTGTTAGGGGTTGTGGCACTGCGACCGTCGGGTCTATTGTGCCCCCTTCTGGGCTTAAAGTAAGCACTGTTGCGTCAATAAAAAGTAGTATAGAATCTACTTTACAGAGTTTTATTGCCTCTTCCGTAAGAATATACATTTCCAGGAGCCGATTCCGTATCTGCATTAGCGTAGGGCATACTAACAGCACATGTGTGGCTGATTCCTCATTTCCTTCGCAGAATCTACACTTTGCATGCGTAAGTAAACGCAGTCTCGTAGGGTGATATTTGAGTTTACACTGCTCTGTTAAGATTCCTGTGATGATTCTAAGTTTTTCTTTTGATAGGTTCATACAATCCTAGTATCTCTTATTGTTATAGGTACCAATAAGTGATTTGAATTGTGTAAACCCGTATCTTATCGCAGTAAACCTTTTTATTCTGGTTCTCCTTTATTTTTATGGGAGAAAGAAGCGTACTATGTCCTAGTCCACAAAAAAGTTCCGACCCATTATCGGAACTATAAAATATTATAATTTATCAGAAGTATCAAAAGTACTACGTATTGAACGACGGTAATCAGTATCGATCAGTAAAAAATTGTAATAACTGACATAAGTATCGAATGTGGATTAACCATTGCTGACATAGGAATTCAGATTTAAAAAATCTAGGAATAAAAATTATATCCGAAAGGTATCACATCGTGTTAAAATGTCATCAAGACAAAAATATATACACATACTAGTTATACCTTTCATATACTGATGTACATCTATCAATTACTCTAAATCCTTGCCCACACCAAAATTCAGTTTTCACTTAAATTCACTTAGCTCATATTATAATGATTTTGTGGAGGTGACGTGATTGGTCTGATAAGTGGCATTTATTACAATATTATTATTACATTAGATCCTTTGTTTAATAATAATTATAGAATATAAGTTTTAGGAAAATTTGGTAACTCATACCTTAGTCGAATAAGGTTTACTACTTGCCATCTTGCCATCTTTCCTCTATCTTTTCTTGCGGCAAGAGATCTAAGATGGACGTTAGTTGGACGTTATCTTCTTTATTTGTAAATCATTTACGTTTATTACAGTTTCTTGTTTATGTAATGTATGAGTATATTTTTCATATGTGATCTCAATACGCCTAAATCATTCTAAATCGTTTTACAATTTGTAAAAAATCATTAAATCGCGACAATACATTCAGCAAATAAACAATATGGATTTATTTGTGTTCTTGTGAAGTAAAAGTTAACAAAGCTTCTAAGTGCTTATATTCTTAAGTTGTTCTAAGCCCTATCCAATCTTGGTGTTGGTATTGGTATTGTCATTTCTAACTGCGCCAAAACAGACCGAACCAAGCCATTCACTTTGCCATTATCACAATCAAGCCAAACGCTGAGCGCTGAGCGGTGAGCGGTGAGCGATGAACTCCCTTTTGAAAATTAGTCTCAGATATTTTCCATTGTGAAAGGCTTTCGTTGATGACTTCTCTATGCTTATTGTTCTTGGGATTATTGATGTTGCTGCTGTTGTTTCTGTTGTTTCTGTATCTGTGGCTGACATTATTGTATCTTTATGTATACAAAACTTCTGCTAATTTTTGTATGTGTACACTTTAAAGCAGCGGACATTTCAATTTAACTTTGGGTGCTGAACTGATTTTAATGATCATTCTGGTTAATATTTGTACTTTTGTTGGTATTTTTCCCTCTAACAAATGCTGTTGATCTGCTTCACTATTGATTCTTCTGTACTAACTTTCACCTAAACAGCACAATTCTGTTACCATTTCGCTTCTTTCCAATTATTTCCATGATTATCAATAGATATGTTGGCTTTGTGCTCTTTATAGCCGCTGGTTTTTCGGTTATTAAACGAGTTTATTCTTTTGTATTCAAAATCCGAAACATAATTTACGAATCTTTTTCTATTTTTGCCCTAACTGCATTTGTTCAAAAGCGCTACGTTTTGGTCAAAAAAACTAGAAATAGAATGGCCAAAGGTAACGGAAGATTGTTAAATGCAAGCTAAATGCAATCTGAAATAAATGACAATATACTAAGATGTTACGGAATCGGTATCTGGCTTTGGTGTTATTACTCTATTCAGTAAAATATATTACAAACCCATATGTTTGCATAAAGACCTACTTAAACCGCATGTTATGTTATATTAAAAATATATATACTTAATATATATATTTAGTATATATTATATACTATTATATGACGAAATAACAAAGATTACGTTGTAGAGGAACGTTCCAGAAATGCTGTTCTTATTATTGAGCGGAGCCATACTGTTTACACTTAGTAACTGGTACTACATTTTACGATTTGACGATTTAACGAAGAATGGTTCTGATTCAACAGTCCAACTGGGATTATGTGATATTATAATGGCCATATAAGATCCATCATAAGTATCTTAGGACACAATTAAGAGGAGTTGGGGAACATCTGTAACTACCAATATTACCCCTAATGACATATTCTATTAAAGTTTTAATATTTTATTTGAGACAAGATCGTATAGTAAGATCACCAGATCTACTTTAATGGAGGTTGATGGTGCCTATAAAAAATATTAGATTCGAACATTTTTACTCATAAAATAAATTGTTTCTTTATAAATAAAATTTAAAAGTTGTCTAAAATTTTTATTTATGTGTATATAATTATATATATTAAATAATTTTCTATTAAGGGAAAGCTAGATATGGCGAGAAATTACGATTAGAAATAAAATGTGAACAATCCCAAAAGCTTTCAATTAAGCATAATTATCTGAAGTAAATTTCTAAGAATTTAAATTTAGTAAATTTTACTTTTTAATTACATATTTGATATTGTTGTTGTTGTTGTTGTTGTTGTTGTGTTTATTTTATAAGATTTAACGTATGCATTTTTATTTGTTGATGATTAGATAAAACAAATTGAATTGGAAAGTAAAAGCATTTTAAGTGGCACAGCCAATAAACACATAACACCACGTAAATCGTAAACATTCTCTGAGGCTTTTAATTGTTGAAAAGGTTAACGCTCTCTGCCCGTAAAGTCATTAACTTCAGTCTTCATACGCTCCACCACGTTCCAAATGCCAAAAATTCTATGGTCAAGTAAAAGTGATCAGCAGACGGTAGTCAGATCTCAGGGGAATGTAAACAAGTGCGCACTTTTTGGAACAACTATGTTACATTATTTAACATGAGAAGTATTTACATAAAAATTAAACGCATATTAATAAAAAACGAACAATGCCACAGAAGTAGCGAAAAATACTTCATTTAATTGCTTTTCATTTAACTGTTTAACCACTAAGTATCTACGATGGCGAATATAAAAGTACAAAGGAAAAATTCAGATGTGCGTATAGAGCGCATATCTTCATGATTCATGAACTGAAGTGCGACATAAAGACCACTAACGACACATCGTGGCTATCAACCTACAAGCAAATTGTTGCAATTGTAGTGAAACATGAAGAGCAACAGCAACAGCAACAACGACAACAACAACAACAACAACAACAACAGCAGCAACAACAGCAATAACGAACAACGATTAAGAAAATAAATCTTTTTACCGTTTGAAAGTCATTATCTAAATCTTTTATTGTCATCTAAATTTATGTGTAAGTTTAGCAGCGCAGGTATCTCTGATCGCGACCGTACTCCATACTAATTTTTTCCTATACTCCACTCTAAGATACTCACTGCAAGTATCTTATTGCAGTGTTGCTTGCCTCTCGGTGTTTACCTTCGATGTTTTTCATAACTTTTTATTTTTTACATAAAATAACATTTATCATCTGGATTTTATGTGATTTTTGTTTTATTACACAGGTTGTCACCACAACGGCACTTGGTACGCTGATAAATCGCTTGTTCCCACCACGGAAAAATGTCTTAACTGTCAGTGTAACAAAAAAACGTTGACGTGCCGTTTGAAAGTGTGCCCCGAAATGCCAATGCCACCACCCAGAGGATGTGTTGTTGTGCAGAAGAAGAATACCTGTTGTCCGTATCTATCGTGCGCTCGTTTGGATGCTTTTTACAATATACCCAATACACGCCGCATAATCGCATATCTGAATCATTATGAGCGGGAGTCAATAGATCGAGTTGTCAACGAGAATGTATTGCAACGTCGTTCGGATGACTCAGAAGTGGACTTATATGGTGAGTTAAGAGTAGAATATTCAGTTATTATCACTTTCTAATATCCTTCAAATAATTGCTTATCTATAAAGCAATATTTTGTTATTCGACTTTACTGTTAAGACTTGACAATAAACAGGTGCTATAATCATCCAGATATTTTGCCAATGGCCTTAACCTTTATATCACCTCCACTAATTCATTCTTCGTGAGCAAATGCGTGTTGATACTAAAGCTTAATATTTAGCTTCTTCGTTAATCACTTCACCCTAAATATATATTTGCATATTAGTTATATTCACAAGTCATTTGAGTTATAATTACGTACTATACACATTCATAGAAGTTATAACTTTAAAGAAATTATAGCTTTTATCAGACATCAGACTTTTTTTCAAACGCAATAGCAATAACAACAACATCAAAATTATATATAATTTCTTACACAAATATTAAAACATTCCATGATTATCAACCAGCTACACAGCTTGTAACTTCTTATATGGGAAAATTACCTTAACTGCATGAGAATTATAATTAGGAGATTATACACATTTGAAAAATAATAATGATTACAATTCCAATGAGTTATATTCCCCTAATAACACTTTTAAACAGAAAGATAATCACGTATTATCTCATGTATTATAAAAGACTAACCCAAATTTTCTCATCAAACTTTTCTCTTATTTTCGGAAATCAATTTGTGGCACATAAGCAATTCAAGAGGAGGAAAAATAAAAAAATGGGTGTTGTTTGTGATTGCAGCAGTTGTTATCTGATCTACGTTTAGTTCGTGAAAACAAAACATTCAAGCTCCTTTTGTTCACAACATTGTTGAAGTTGAACACACTAACGTGTGCTTAGGAAGCTCTATCATGACCTTTCCCGCTCGTTCTTTTCTCAGCTGTACGCATAATCCAACGGCTCGAGCTTACCAGATGTTGCCTCTAAAATTTATATTACTCGCTGTTTTCTAACTTATAGAATTTAACCTTGCAATATATCAAGTCTGTAAATAACTTTTCCTTTTCTAACCTTTATGACGCTTTTTTGTTAGAATCTTTTCTCTATTCAGCTCATTGCTTTAAAGATATTAGTGCATTTGAGTAGCACATTGTGGTCTTAGGTGTTTTGAATTCTTATTCGTAAAAACTCTTCCATAAAAAAAGATTTTCTTGAAAAGTAAATTTCTCCAAATTAAAAGTTTCATTGTCTAAGAATTTTAATAAAGATATCGTAATCAACTTAAATTAAAATTTTTATTTAAATAAATTATAATGTCACAATGTTAAAATGATCTATATTATTATTTAGATAAATATGTTCAAATTCAGCATTTTTAAAAAACACGCTAATATAAACTGAAGAAGGTACTTTGGACTCAGTGACTTTGACATATATAAATTCTTAGCAAAAAAAATGGTGAAAGCGAAAGCACTTTGTTTGCTAAGAGGTTCACTCTTAGAAGCCTAAATTTTCAGATAGCAGAATTCACTTCTTTACTAATATTAGACATATATAAATTACGATAGGACCTTAATATAGAACTTTGAAACCATAATATTTAATTTTATTTTTTTATTTGTGTATTTTTTTAAATCAATCCAATTATTTTTGTTACGATAATACAAGTTACCCTTAAAGTCATGTAGATTTAAACTTCCCCTAAGCTGTTCTGTAATCTAAAATTGTATGGATCTTCATTTTTGCAAATATTTTCAACTTAATCCTGAACCCTTGCCTTCCATAAAGTAATGCATCCTTTTTGCTGATTCTTCTCTGATCGTTTTTGAATAGTTTTTGATGTGTGGTAGCATCTGATTCAAATAAAAATCTGTACAAAAAAATACAAATAATAATACTTTTTTAAAATATATTTTTCAGTTTGTGTAAAAAATGGCACCGTCTATAAGTCTGGATCTGCGATGTCGTCGTCCAATTTGTGTACCTACTGCTATTGCATCGGTAAGTTAGAGGAATGGTAGTGTTTGGAAGGTTAAAATTTTCGTTTGATAAGTCGAGATCATACATTACTTCTTAGCTAGTTAACAGTAATTCATATATATATATATTATTTTTATGCTACTCACCAGTAAAATATTTATAAAATAAATTATATTAACTATCAACTTAAGTTGAAATAGTGGAATGAAAGTGTAATAATATTTACAATATTTGTACGCGATAATTGGTTTTTTATTAATTGACATTAAAATTAATTAAAAAATGTTTTCAGTCCACTAAAATTTAATTAAAAGTAAGCAAAAAATTCAAAAAAAATTTTCATCGAGATATATTTTTCCTTTTTCATAGGTGGCACTGAAAAGTGCGTCAAACCCAAATGCATGCTACCTGTCGAAGGTTGTAAGCCTATATTTGTTGATTCAACTTGTTGTCCCGTACGTTACGATTGTAGCACAAAGACATTTGGAAAATCCTCACAAGAAGTAAATTATCGCAAAACATCGAACAAACATTTCCTACGAATGTCACAACGACTCCAAAGAAATCGTGGTTGTACTGTAAACAAGCAATTTTATGCAGAAGGACAGAAAATGAAATCCGATCCCGACAAGCCATGTGATATTTGTTTCTGCATACGTGGCAATAGACGTTGCGCCCCAAAGAAATGCTCACCGGCACTAAAAAATTGCATACCAGTTGTACCGAAAGGGCAATGTTGTCCCTCCAGTTATGACTGTGGTAGTCAAAGAGACTATAGACGTGCACAAAACTCTCGGCAATTCAATTTTCTTTCTCTTTTATTTGGTAAAGATGAAGGCATCGAATCGAATTCCACAGAAATCTCAGTGCAGTATCCACATGACAGACAACCACCAGAAATAAACGAAAATAATGTACCTATCGTAAGCACTACAAGTGAGAGAAGTATTTTTGACACAATAAGAGAAGGTTTGGAATTCATTGATGGAAATAATAATCAAATGCTAACTGACAATATTGATCTATTGGGCATACAAACTGCGATGTCGTCACCAAAAATAGAAACAAGCACACCCTCGTCAACAAGTTTTAGTTCTACAACAGAAGTAAGCTTTTTAGACTTACTTTTAGGGCCTACTGATGATTTAAACGGTGTTGTTAACAATTTAGATGCCGCTATGCCACAGTTGAAAACTACTACAAAATATCCGGGTTTATCATGGGTTGATTTATTGCTTGGTTCCGACGAAGATGATAATAAGAATAATTTAGGGACAACAAATACTGATACAATGGATGCAACAGAAGCCACAACCTTTTTCCATTCGAAAGAGGATACAACTAATATTGACCGAATGGATGAAGATTTCGATGATTTTTCTGGTAGTGGGGAGTTGCTTATAACAGATATACCTGTAACGACAGAGTCAATTGAAAAATTCAGCACCGTCGCTGAAACGAATTTAGTTAAAACTTCTACAGAAGCGATTAAGCTGTTTGAAAAGAATGTTGCAGATAATACAGTGCTGAGCACAGAAGAAAGCACTACAGAATTACCGAAAATAAAACCACAAGCAGTGAAAATCTCGATTACTCCTGAGCCGAAAGTAACAACAGTAGATACTACAATGAAAACAACAATGAAACCTTCGCCTCAAGAAACAACAAACATTCCCTTTAGGGGAAACAAAACACATACCACCAAAATTACACATACAAAACCCAATGAACAACTGCACAAGACAGATTATCTCCCCATAGAAGAAGCACCGCCGAAATATATGGAAGCACAACTCAATATACCCGAAAAGAAAAACAACTTGTTAACAGCATTTTTCGATGGCATTTCAGATATTCTGGGTGATTTACCATCAGGAAACGCTACAAATACCACGCTGTCACCAGCAGATATGGCGATTACTCTACCTACTCCACGGCCGTTACCATTGTTTAAACCATTGCCACCAGTTAAGTCACATACACGTATCAATTCAAAAATTGCGAATTTAACAGCACAAACTCCCATATTTGTAATGAAGCATGCCCAAAATATAACTATTAAACCTATACCAATACAATTGGGAACCACTACCACTGCAACAACTACAACGACTAGAAAAACCACTGCAACTCCAATAATTACAACAACTATTGCAACTACTGCATCCCGAACTACTGTTTCTAGCTTAACACCTAATGCAAATACAATAACAACAAAAAGTACAAAAACCACACAAAAACTACCCACTACAGTACCTATCTCCATCACTACAACGTCACTTATGGATGCCACTACTAAGCAATCAAATATAGTGCGAACTACCGATAAGCCACTTATAATTAAAACAAATCCTACAATTTTGGAAGCAGAACCACTCGATAAAAACGCTGAACCCACGCTGCCACCCAGCTTGCCAAACCTTAAAATTATTCCATTTTTGCCAACAGATGCCGTAAAGGCTGATCGCGGTAAGCTACATTACGATTACTATCACAACAATCCACAGACGACAAAAATTGATTATGAACTATACGATGATGCCAATCTTTATCCTGCTATAACCGAACGCTATCCTACTTATACAGATTTAGATGACAGCAATAAGGCTGAATATATTTACAAGTTTGACGTTGAAGGTCCAACTGAAATCGAACCAGTTCCTCTACCTGCTCCTACTAAACTAGAAGAAGGCATCACTGGCACCGCTAGCTTTGTAAAATATGATTTCGATAATACTGCTCTTCAAACAAAAGGCTTTTCACCACCCACAAAGACAGAAGGCGGATTTGTACCTAAAAATCCACTTATCATTGATGAAAATGAACAACGTAATGAAGACGAATTGCGTCTGAAAAATAGTTATCAAGTGACAAAACATATTATTGACATCACAACTGCTGATCCAGCTAATAATACAACAAAAGTAATAGGTAAGTAGAATAACACTAACATGACTTATTGTTTTTGCTTTTTTCCAAAACCAAATGATATATACAGGTCAATTAGATGGCAAAAATTAAAAACAATTTTCATAACTGATCTAATATTGTTAGGGAAAACTATTTCACATTGTTTAAATAATATTATTATCACTAGAATAAACTAACAATGCAGTTACACGCTTATCTTTCAGAAATAACAACACCAGATCCATTCAAAGATGTCATTAGAACTGAAACACCACCAGATTTATCGTCTTTAATCGAAGATAAAGAAAAAAATTCTATTTTAAAACATAATATCGAACTGCAAAATATCAAAACTTTTTCAACATCTACCACAGTGAAGCCTTTTATCAATAAAACCACTCATGTCGACACCCTTTTGCCTAGCCCATATCCTAGACCAAAAAATACAAGTGATTTTGAGGAAATAGTTAAGGATGAAAGGAACAGTATAGAAAGCTTTTTTAATCTTTTCTTCAACGCGGATGAAGATGATGAACACGACGGCAACAAATTCGTTGGCAGTTCCACGATTGCAACAGTTCCAAATGCAACTATACCACCGTTTAAGTCCTTGCCTGCTTCTACCGTTAACAATCTAGCTATAAATTGGACAACTAAAAGACCCAGCAGCACAACAACAATTAGGATAAGAACCACTACAGTAGCACCAACAACTGAAGTAACAACGGCAAAAGTAAAAACCACAAACAGCACGGTAGTAGCTCAAGGCAATCCAAACAACAGACGTCGAACGACAACTCCCAAACCCGTACGGCAAAAGAATACCCACACTCCCTCAGCAGCAACGCGAATAAAGAACAAAACGAAAGTGAATAACAGAAATCAAAATTTCGCAACAAACACAACAGCAATAAGAACAGGGGAAACAAATGCAAATGCCACAAAATCTAAAATTACCCATCCACTTCGATACAGAGTATCACCTACAACGACAACGAGAACGACAATAGTAACAACAACCACTTCTGAACCCATCACAACGACATTGAATACACTCAAACAAAACAAATACGACACACAAAACAAAACCCGAACACCTCCGAACAGCAATTCGAATGCTCCACCTACAACAACGCTCCATCCATATTTAATGTCGCCCTTCGACAAATTGCCTTTTATGGACGCCAGCGTCGAAGTGAAGTCACACAGCATAACAACGAGCACAGCACCCAAGGCGCAGCACCCAAGTGCGAATGCGAACACAAACACGAATCTATTGGGACTAGTACACTACAAAAACAAGCTCAACAAGTTTGAAGGCTTAGAGCCAGCTTACGAAACAAGTGTCGTGAACAAGCACAACAGGGTTGTTAGTGCACCACAGGTAGCAGCGATGTCGCCAGCCTCCATTTCTTCGGTCGCAAGCTCCGCTTCAACGAATGTGGTGGTTTCGCCTTCATCAAACAGCCTCATCGATTCCGCTGGTATTTTAAAACTGGCCGGCTGCAATATTTACGGTCGTATGTATCGTGTCGGTCGCATCATTTTAGAACTATCGAATCCCTGCCTCGAGTGCAGGTGTACCGAAGTCGGTGTAAAGTGTGGACCATTAGACTGTTAGTTAAGTTAACTATAATGCATCTATAAATATTCCAATGAAAGTTCCCCGTTCCCCTTACAGTGTTCGACATTCGGAACTTTTACAATATGTATTAATTTTTTTCGAGTTCGAGTAGTGATAATATCTCTTAGTTTCTGTAAGCATTAGATTTAATTTAAACTGCGATTGCAACGGCAAAATTTTATTTTATTATTGATGAGATATTAAAATTTTTTTAGAAAATATTTTATATATAGTATTTCATATATAGTATTTCATATATAGTATTTCATATATAGTATTTCATATTTGTTTATAATTTATTTATTCCCGAAATTAATTCATACATTTTATCTCATGGACACAAATTTAAGTTGTAAAATAATTTATTTCTATTTAATTTTATATAATTTTATTTAATATGACTTTAATTTAATTTAATTTAATTTTAACTTAATTTATTTTATTTAAAGCACAAATAATTTAAAAAAATAATATATAAAGGATTTTATATTTAGTACTTGTTGCAGTTCTTAGAAATATTATAAAGTTAAGCTTGTAACCCACTAATTATTAGAAACTATTTTTATATATAACATAATTATTTTAAGTAATAGCAAATATTTATACTAAAACAGCAATCTAACTTAATTATTTTTCGAATAGGATTAATTAATAATAATAAAATTATTGAGAAGATATTGAAATATTAACTATAGCGTTGTTATTGAAACCTGCCAACCCAACCATCAGAAATTATACCAAGTTACCTGCTAGAGAGATAGAATAGACTGTGTCAAAACTCTTCATCACCTTCAACCGCTATTCAAAAATGAAAATCTCAATACTAAGAACAGGAAACAGTACTATTCGCCAGCCAGAAATTGCACAAAGCCAGGTTCTAAGAAGATTTTTCAAGGTACCATGTTACATTAGGACGAATGATATCCTCAGGGACCTCAAAATTGATCCCATCAAAAAATACATATAGGATAGAGCACTGAAATTATTTAAGAAAACTGGCAGGCTTACCAACACCGCGTTATCGAATCTCAGAATGGTTACGAGCTCCTTGGAGAGGTATGCAAATCTGAGGTCAGTTATTGCTTAGTGTGATGAAGTGATAAATAATAATCCAGTCAAGGCGTAGAGAAGGGTTATTAAGAAACTTCGCAGTTAATAGAAAGTAATAGTGCTCAAGTGCACTGAATCAACTGGCGTCAACATAATAATAATAGAATGGGATGGGACATTTACAATGCAGAAAAAAAGTGAACTATTTTAGGCTCATATATTGGTTAGCTGAGACTTTTTGATAAGTGAATATACGTATAGACGTATATATACTATATGTCTATATATAGTATACTAAACAATGTGTCATGGTTTTTTTTTCCTCTTTGTAAAATAAAAATCAAGTATAGTATCAACTATCAATATGCGTAGAAATCTACTATGCAAAGTAGTAAAACCAATATATGAATTGAATTAAAGGATATATAAATATTTAGATTTTCTTCGGAGAAGTATTTCAAAAAAGTTGTACTCTCACGAGTTTTACACGTATTTGAATTAAACTAAAATTGTTATTTAAAAGATTTGTCATTCAGGGCTGTTTTTCTCCTCTCACGTCGCTGTCTCTGTCGCTCAAGACTTCTCCAAATATTTAAACAATTTTCTTTACATTAATCATTAGCGTTCGGCTGGAGCGGTATGACTTGTGTGAAAATATCAATATCATATTGAATATTGATCAATATTTCTACGCCGCCACAATGTTAATGCTCAGGATAGAGTACATACATTAGTTTGTTGTCTCAGCACTTAAGCGTCGCGCAAAACACTCTACGTGCTGTTTTTATCATAAGGATATCATACTCTCTATACTACACTTTAAGGAGATTATGAATTTAAAATTTAATGATGAAAAATACGGCTTAATAAGTTTTGATATACTACCACTTGTCACACCTATATTGTCGCATGTTAGCATATTCAAAAAGTGGAACCCTAAAAAGTGTTTTTAATTCAACTTTATCAATATTACTTATACTACGACTAGATATGTTTACCTATTTAATATATACCATACCTTACTACCTAACGGATACGAACTAAGTCCTTTTATATGGCACATTGTTGCGTTATAGAAGCACTTTTTTTATTTAATTAAAAACAAAAAAACTTCAACTGCTGTCTTCTTTTCAGCAAGAAACAAAATAAATAAAAATGAGGACAATTCAGATAGAAAGTGAACGAAATGCACTCACAAGTGAGGTGTAGTGTTATAGAGCTAAATGGGCTCTACAAGCAATTCCAAAATGGAATAATTCTGATGTCCGTAGTTCCGTTCGGTAATTAAATCAGTTTTCTGTGAGAAATCATTTCGTGAACTTAAAAATAGTTTAATAAACTCAAATAGAACTCAAATAAGTTAATGGCCTTAAAGACAGTTTTTGAAGTTAATTTAAATTATTTTTGAAATAAATGAACAATATACTCGAAGCACGTTATTGCGAAAATAATTTATTAATGCATATTAACCAAATCGTTTGCATATTTTCTGTAATAAGAGAGTTTTGAAAATGATTGTTTCATACTAAACCGATCAGACCACCTATATGATGATTATCCTTCATATTAAACAAAAGTACAGCTGAGCGGAACTTCTCCAACTGAAACTCAATAGCTTACTTATGATAGGTACACATGGAAAAATATTTATTACTTCTCAGAACCTGCATAGATTGTAATACCCCAATGGAAAGAAAATAGGAGTACCTGATTATCTGTTTATTTACATGTCATAATTTTTCTTCTGTATTACCCAAAAATATTTATTTTCTGTTATTCTCTGCTCTATATACATACATATGGAGAATGGTAACTCAAATTTGTTACTTCCATCAATTTTGGTTGTTAGCATATAAGTTGGAATATGTCCAATCCCTTCCTACCTTATGTGGCAAAACCCACTGTTGAGTACTGAACATAGGGAACATTACACATATTTAATTATTATATGACTGGCTATCTTTGGCTTTTACAGATTGTTACTTTAAATGAAAATTAATTATTTCAGCTCATGTATGTGTACTTCCTGTTTGCCAAAAAACTTTAATTAAAATTCTGAGTCTGAGTCTGAGTCTGAAACAGTCTTGCGCAAACGAAAGTGACTACTGATATGCATCTAAATAAACACTTAACATACGATATAATCTTCAAATGAAGAAAATGGAGAAACAAAAAATATTTACAAGAAATTAATATAATAAATATTTAAAGAATTATTTATATTTAATTGCACAAAAAATATATTAGTATTAATTTTATGCAGAACATGCACGTAAGTACATAAGCAACTGAAATATGAAACGATTTTAATTTGCTTCATTAAAAACATTCGATTAACAAACGAAGTTAATTTATAAATAATTATTCATATAATTATTTATATTTAACGCATGCCTCAAATCGGTATACCTATATGGATCGGAAACCTGGCTTGCTGACGCCGAAACCGAAAGAATCATGCAATCATTTATCAATCGATGCCTGCTCAACATATTAGGCATATGGTGCCCTAGAACGATTTCAAATGAAGAGTTATGGAGAATACGCACCAAACAAACGTAAATAGCAAGATAAAAAGAAAGAAGTGTGGTTGGATTGAACACACGCTGGCTAAGCCTTATGAAGATATCGCGCATGCTGCACTTACTTGGAACCCCCAGGGGACTAGGCGCAGAGGCAGACCAGCAATGACCTGGAGAAGGACAGTTCAGCAGGAGACGGGCAAATCGTTAAACAATTTGAGAGCAATAGCACAAAATAGAAACCAGTAGCAAACTTTTGTAGACTCCTTAAGCTCCTAATGGAGTATGGAAATAATAATAATAATAATAATAGATATACGAGTATCAATTAGAATAAAGGTAAATTTTTCATTACAGCCAAGTATTACTTAATAAGTAATTAAGATTGTTTTTTATTAATTACTATTAGCACTTACAGCTACTCTAATTAAATGTATCTCTATATATCATTACATCAATACAATACACCATTATATGAGATAGACCTATATTCACTAAAAGCTATTGAACTTATACTAATGTAATGGAATATACAAAATATTGATGCCGGCTTATTTGAATATATCTCCAGTTTTAAGTTTTGTTCTATCGGTGACATATTCCGTTGAACCTGTCGATGTGCTGTGGTAGCCACTTTTGGTCATAGGTCCTCCGTCTCTGTAGATTAGAAAACCCAGACATAGGCCAGTAATGCCTCCAGCGATATGTGCTTCTAAGCTGATATGTGGACTTGCATTTCGATTTATTAAAAAATGAAAACTCGTAAAACAAATGTCACTCAAGCAGAGAATAACCAAAGCGACGAGTCGAAAATATCGATAAGGTAGATGACTGAAATTCTATGAAAGAAAAGATAAATATATATATATTCATATATTCATATATATTAACACTGTGTATGTTTATATAAAAATATATTTATTATAATGTATTACAAGGTGACTTAAATATAAACTTGTTATTATTGCTTTGTTTTTAGTATTGTTCAAATGATAATTTAATACATATATAAATCTCTGCCCATGACTCAAAAGGCTCAACGAAACCAGAAAACGATTCCAGGGAGCAATCTTGAAATAAAAACATATATTTGGAAAATCAGAAAGCTGGCGGAACTAATAATAGACTGTGATCGATCAGTTTTGTAATTATTGAATCATCTGAATATTCATGGGAAGGTTCAAGTAGTTCCCTCAATTATCATTTCACATACATTGATATTTAAGATAATGACAAAGACATACCAAGTAATAAAGAACGAAAGGCAAATAAAGGTTTTTTATGCATCTTGTATAACTAATCCTGGAGAATCATGTGCATTAACTAAAAAAGCGGGCTAATATACAAGTGGTATTATAATATACGAGTATTGTTGAACTTCTAAATTTTATGCGTCTGTTGAGAAATAGAAATAATATCACACTAGCGTGCATTAGTGATTTTGTAATTAATTGCCAAATTTATCTACCCTTATTGTTAATAAAGTTAAGTCCAATAGAAATCAGATAAGCTGGGTAAGCTACAAGATATCACTATAAACAAAACAAAACTATCACAGTTCTTGAAAACCGATGGGTAGCGAAGGTTCATTCTTACTGCTTGAAAGAATGATGTGAACCGATTTCAGGCGAAGGTTTGTTGCGAACTTTATTTTAATGTAAACCTGGTCTTATAGAAAGCTCTTGTATGCTCTAGTATGTAGCACCAATATTTGATCTCTCTGATGTTTTGCTTAATGCAATGAGTGTCGGTATATTCACGCAAGAAATCGACTTATGTTACATGGAAATTATGGATAGTAGTAGTTAAAAGTGATTCTCGATAGTCACTTTCTAAGATTCTTGCATCAAGATGTGCATCCTTCGATCGGTCGAAAAATTTACACTCGAATGGGGCAACAGCTTTAAATGAGTTGTTCTGATTACTATAATAGACTGAACCAACTTTTAATAATTATTGTCCTTTCTAAATATCAATTTAAATTCAATTAAAACTAATTAATAATGAGGTAGATATATTGTGTCAGAAATGTAACAACTGCAACAGATATTATTTCCAGAATTTAGTTCTTTTTACATAATCTACATACTGCTTACCTTAACCAAGTGCGGTATGTGACTCATGAGCAATGCATAAATGCCCGCTGATGCGCCCACTAACGAAAACTGCGGTTGGAAAATTGAAATGGCCAATGAACCGGAAACACCGCCTGCAGCATATATAATTGCCACCTTCCAACGACGTTGTTCGGACTCCAAACAAAAGCCAATCAGGAACTGTTAATAAGTTTTTGGATGGCATTGTTGATAGACATGAAAATATACATATACAGAATATTGTGTAATTACACAGAAATCACATTCGAATTGAGTATGGCAGCTCATACTCATGATTATTGCAAGTTTGGCAGTTTGTGCTCCACAGAACGTCCACAGAAGAGTCTTATATTTTTCTATCGATTCAAATATTATTTCGTACTTACTTGCAGGCAAAGATTCAATAGCAAATGTAGGTGATCGGTGTGTAGCAGCATATAGCTTAGATGCCTCCAGTACTGCGTTCGGTATCTCGGGATGTACATGAACCGCTGTTTGATGGACTCATTAGCCACAAAGAAAAGTGTGAACTGTAAACAATTTGAACAAAATTAGATATTAGACTTTATGTTTTTACTTCGGGCACTTGCAGACACGTGTGTAATTCATTTATTTTTTTATAAATGGAAAATTAGTTCATTAATTTAGAAATTTCAGGTATCGAAAGTGAAATGAACTTTCTTTCTTGTACAAATTCGTGCGTTATAATAACACAGATATGTTTTATTTTTATCAATGACCAACAGTGATGAGAAGCCAATATAAACTTTGGAATATTCAAATTCTTTTGCATAACGCACTATGATGGAAGATCAGCTATACGAGCTGTGTCCCGACATTAACATAGTTAAAGGTGACGGGATGAAATTGTTCCGACAAGAGAAACTATAAATTGTTCCGACTAGGTACGAGTACTGCCATCGGAAAACGCTATAACGAATGTCCACATCTTTGCTGAAAGGCAAAGGTAGCAAATTATCAGAACGCAATCGATACTACTAACTGGCGACAGCACGCCGCTGATTGAACTGGCTGCCGGAGGGAACTGGAGTCGGCCTAGGACGATACACGTACGAAAAGTCCAGTAAAAAGTTATTTCTTTAAACTTTTCAAAGTAAGAAAAATTAATTTTTTGAAATAAAAATTAAAGTAGATTAAAGTATGTTAGACAATTAATGCCAACCATTGACCATTTCTACGGCACACACTGTCGTTTTCATTCATGTTAACTCAACTATGTCAACTATGTTAGATAACTGAAAAGCGGCTTACTTCATGACTATGTGCTTATAATTCCAAAAATATTAACTCAAAATTAACTGAAAAGGCAAATCTAGTTTGATTACATATCATTGAGACACAGAGTATGTTCGGTTTGTGACCCAACTTGGCAACGACCTCATTCCTAATTTGGTTAAGTGAGCTGTCACTTTTGTTCAAACTCAATGCATCGTGTTGAAGTGATTTTCAGTTGCAATAGAGCAAGTCAAAGTTGTGGCGAATAGAATAAAAACGAAACTTACAGCAAAAATTCAAGATGGTGTTGCACTAGGAGCAACAGATACGTTGGTAATTACATTACCAATTGGTGATAACTTTTTTATTGGGTTTTTTACGGGCATTACGATGCGGCAGAATCAGTAACTAGAAACTGTGATTGAATTACCTGCGGCATCAACTGTTTCCATCATTTCAAAGCGTTCAAACTGATTTACCGTAAAGCAATTACCGAATGCGATTTATGCACTCAGTTAACAGAAAACAAATGAAACATTCATCTCATCCAAACAGCTCAGAGCGATTAAGAATTGCATCTCGAAATCTGTACAACTCGTCAAAGCTACACAAGTGCGTCTCCACGCCGCATAAGATTGAACGTTTCCATTTTAGCACTAACGCTTTGCAATTATGGCATCTAATGCTGTGGCGGTAACATTATTTGCATCATAAGGTAAAGCATACCGCTGACATGTAACTAGATATGCCAACGTACATCACAATTACAACGCCACCACATTGTATGCCGTAATAATTACAGCAACAACAACAGTAGCAACAAAAACTAGTGTTCCATCAAAACTAGAAAAATAATGCAAATTGATGTTTACGACCATTTGTGGCAGTATCCGCGCCAACCAATAAATCGCTCCATCGCTTCATCGCTCCATCACTTCGAAATGGAAGTGATGCTCGTGATGCTCGTCATGCTCGTCTTAAAACACATTTTGTTTTATAGAGCTATTTTCCACCCTTCCACCATTCTACGCTTCTATTCTTCTATTCTTGTATCTAAGAGATACCACAACGCCTGCTTTTCTATGTGCTTCTGAATTTTTCTGAATTGATCATTAAATTCTTCGTGTACATTCATTTGTGATTTATTACTGATTACCGATCGGAATAACACACAAAATCCCATTGTGTTTGAGCTCATAAATCCATAAATTATCTATGTTTACTTTATATTTCTATAATGGCGAATCTTATTTATGGAGTCGAGATATTCGCGCTACTCGTAATGTTTGGGCCAAATTAATTATAAGAAAATTGTTAAGTGTTTTTCCTAATGGCTTTAATGTATACAAATTGAAAAGAAATCAATAGCAAACACATTTATATGCTCTGCTCTCTTTCCCCCACGTTTCAAGAAATTAAAGATTCCTAAAATTTTTGAAAATAATTTTTTGAATTTTTACTGAAGAATTTCATTTACTCAGACAATTGGTTAATCAAAGAGTAAGAATTTTTGGCATCTAAACCAAATATTATCAAAATCAAACAAGTCATCTGACATCCAGAATATTTTAAAAAAATTTTAGAGTGTTTCCTCAAGAATAAAAGGCGTATTGGGCAATACGACCCCCAAACGTAAAAACGATAATCACAAAAATTCTTTTACCATACCTTCCCGCTTACGTCCGTGTAAAAGTCAATAATCAGTCTTAATAAAGTAAGCATAGCCGACTATTTAGTACCAATACTGATACATAATATCAGACCAAAAAGTGATCATATGTCAATATCAGTCAGTGACTAACAACAACAGACATTGATCCTCCCGTGTTCTATTAAAGACACACAGTATCTCGCTAGCTCAACTGTGTGTTCGTTTCCGAATATATTCAATCGGAAACCCAAACTAGAGTTACTTTGGAGTTCTTGCTTAATAAGTCAAATATTCTTTTACATACATGAACTACGTTGGATGAGAAACAGACTACTGATAGCTTTGTTTTCATTATCTGGAAGTTTTCAAGTTAGCTTTGAGTTCTTCATCCAAATCTGCAACTGAAGAACTGACTCTTAGTGAAAACTTCTCTTTAAAATAATAAAAAGGAGATGCAAACATTATAAAATTATATTATTTACTCCATTGGTGCCAGTCGTTATCTTTTCCTTCGTTCTAATTAAATCTATTGCCAAATCTTCTCTTATGGAAGAAGTGATGGGTAAGCAAGGACACATTTAATCTAATCTCTCATAACTAATGATCGGAATGATTGCTAGAACATGTATACTGAGAATAGCCATTTGTATTTTGTGATTGTCATGTACCATTGACTATCAACTATCAATTATCATGTCACAATCATATCCCTTATGATAGGACTACCTGTCGCTTATAAGATATCCAAAACAAAAAATGTTAAGTCCTACTCATGTACACAAAACCTATGTAGGTACAATTATTATTCAATAAAGATATACTCCGAAAACCAAGAAAATAAACTCTCCATTCTTCCATTCTACTCTTTCCATTCTTCTAGTACTCTTCGCATGGACAGTTGTGCTAGGAATAATGAAATCAAATATGATGGAAAGTGAAAAACCAAAACAGTTTTATTTGAAGTACTGTTAAAGACTTGGCTATCGAGTACGACCAGATGGCCATCACATTTGGTTTAGAACGAAGGTTTTATAATGTGCTAGTGATGTCGAAATTTCTTATACTTCTGTATAGGATTATAAGATGTCAAAAATGTATTATGATTTAAGATGCATGGATTATAAGTGTTACATATCGTTATTTCATCAAATAATGAATTAATCAAAGTATTAATCGACGTAATCACTCGTAAGAGGCATATTTTTCAGTTCTTCTTATACGGTTTCTCCATTGTGGGATCTTAGATTGTGTCTTCACCAATCGGTTTCTTCTGCAAAACTTGCCTCACTGCATGTCTTTTAGTCTTCCCATTACAAGGCCATAAACGCGGACATGAAATTTTCCCAGTTTTGTGCTAATCGGCACAACTCTATTACTACATGGAAGGAAATTGTTTCTTATCCTGATCTAACTTTTTCACTCCGATAACCTATCGTATATATTTGATATATGAAGACTCAGTTCTAATTTCCAGTTCAGCTCAACACACATGTGCATACTCCAATGCTGGTCTGATCATGTTTTGGATACGGATCCGGACACCCTTGAAGAGTGGCGCATGCAATATGTTGTGATATTGGTGATTTCAACAGCAATTTTCATAGAGTAAGCCCAGAGTGTTCTTCCAATGTCATCCACTAGTCCAAAGCCCTATGTGATGCGATATTAATTTAAATATTCTATACGGTTTCTGTGGCTTTGGACAGATGTTCTAGCTTTAGAGTTTGTAGATCTGGTTCGCTCTTGATCTGGTTGTTCGTATTCGGATGTATCACTTTTTGTATACCTGTCACAAGAAATAATAACATGTCAATCTACTTCTGTGACTAACAGGAGCAGGAATATAGAAACGGGGTTCTATTGAAGAGCTATCGAATATATTAGTATAATGCATAAATGCGGGAGGGATACAAAAATTTAGCTGAGTGAATAGGTTCATTGTTCATAAGCCACTTCAATATGCAATTTGCAATAATAAACATTTTTATGATTATTGAAATTGTACACACAAACATACAAACATAAAAACATAAAAATGTTATTACGTCTGCTATGGCGAAATTCTGATTGCATTTTAAAAGTATCTGCAATAAATTTTTGAGGCAAAAACGAAGCGAATGGAGCTTTGGCCAAATTGTTAAAATGTTCGCATTGAGAATAAATCTTTATATGTATATATATTTATACCTATATAGGAATATATGATTACATTTATAAGTAAGTATTTAAAGAAACAGCACTTATTTACACACATCTTCAAGTATCTGATATTCCATTCGTATTTTTGAACTGCAAAACGCGAGATACTATGCGAATAGATACTCAATTGCGTATTGCACTGCGTTTGAGTGATGTTATATTCTTATTTGTATTCTTGTGTGTTCGAAATAATTAAGTCTACTTTAACAGAATTTAATCATTTATTTATTTCCTTATTGTATTATCGATTCCATACATATGTTATAGGCAATTTTTTTTTGTTCAAGTATAAAACATAGCTATGGTGTATATGCATTCATTGTAATCAATGGGACCATGACAATCAAAACCAAGCCATGCAGTTTGTGAATTATTGACATACTCAGTTCTGACGATGACTTTATTTTGTAGTTACCCTGCATTTTATGTCTTTCGACCTCTTCGGATGCAGGCGATGCATATACTAGAAAAATATAGGCGCCAAATGAAATGCACATTCCAGAAGAAGTCACTTTTATATAGTATAAGTCAAATAACCTTATAAAAGTCGCAGCTGTCTATTTCACACTTCTGTTTTGACTTATTTACTTACATCTAGAAATTAAAGTTATTCCAAAGCAATGAATATTTAGTTTACACAGAAGTAAATAAACGTGAAACAGTACTCAATTGCGTCAATACATAATAGCTTTAAAGAAGCTAGGGTACGAAATAAAAATCTGAGAAAACTACAGCTAGCTATTAAGTTGAACTTATAACTTATGTTAATCCGATATATATCAATGCTATGCAGTTTTAGTTTCTACAGAATATATCATTAAAGAGCTTGATAATCACTTACTAGAACAAAAGGGCATCCGTGGTCACAATACTTCTACCCAATGGAAACCAGTACTCTATCATCTAATCTTTAATTATGTTAAAAGCAGCTGAAAGTGATGGTATACCTGGAGATGTTTTTCGAGCTGATCCATATGGGATGACTAGGTTACTGTACCCACTGCTTCAGCAAATCTGAGAGAACGAAAGGCTGTTTGTATTCTACCATTCCACCGTAATCATTCGTATATTGATCACATTAACACCATGAGAATTATTCTCGAGCAATCTACTGAGTTTTATTCCCCGCTGTATATGACTTTCATTGATAATGAAAAAGATTTGATTATTAAAAAGCTTAAAAGGGATACTATTTGTGCGATTTTATGCATTTGGGATTTCTCCCAAGTTGATAAGCATAATAAGAAATTCATTTGAAGATACTACAAGTAAAGTTTTCCATGCTATCACACTAACGAACGGCTCTTTAAAAGCTGCTCTTTTAATTAATACGTCAGAATAAAAAGCTATGCGTGTTTGCTATCAAAATTTAGCTGCCTTTAACATTTATGATTATGATATTGATGATGTTAAACGATTTTAAGTACCTGGGAATTAAGTTTACCCCCGAGAATGACATTCAAAAAGCGAAGTGTGCCTATGCCTTACTAAGTAGAGTTTAGAGAAGTGCCAACATCGTCTAGGCAACTGAATTGAAAAGTTTCAACATAACTAAATGATATCGAAAAAAAAATACTCAAAGAAAGGATACGTGCTGCATAGCTCCTTCACTCTTATAATGGAACCCGATTGGATCAAGAAGAAAAGGACGTCCAAAGACACTGAAAAATCCAAATCGTGTAATGAGCTTAGACACATGTCACGGAGTAATGGAAACTGTAAACTTTTTGTGGATAATCTAAGTTCTTAGATTTAAAGTCAATTTATAATTGTTTGTACTCTTGGAACATGTCCTCATAATAATAAAATAAGGACTCAACTCTTGTCATACAAAGTTCGCAGAAAAATGGGAAAACACTACAGGTACAGGAAAAATCAACCATTTAGTAAAGTAATCAATATTAATCACATTAATTAATTTAGTTTTATTTTCACAAAACTGTGGTCACTGCCTCAGCTTGGCCCAGTCACCTGACAAGTCATCTTAGCCTGCGTTGTCATTCCAAAAAGGTGACTGTTTGTAATGAGATAGATTATTTCCATGTAACTATCACTTGATAGTTATTTGAAGAATTCAAAATATTTATGTAAAACCTTTTTTATGCCTTATGTGTTATTACGATCTGTGACTGCTAATATAATTTTATAAGTATCATGTCTTTATGAATGAATAATTACCGATAATAATTCTGAAACAAAGAAATTATAAGAGTCATGAAATCGATTGAATCTACTATGAAATCAAATTACGCATATCTAGTTTAACAACCTACTTAGACATTAAATAGATTAATTATATCTTATCTATTCTCGCGTTACTCTAGTTGAGGGTATACTTCAAGTTCATGGAAAATAATTACCCCTCTTGGAGTTTTATCTATTTAATTTGCTCGTCTCAATTAAATATATAAATAACAGTTCATGCATTTACTCAATTTTGAGAAATAAAAGTTTAAAAAAACATGTAAAAAATTCAATAAAGAAATAAATAGATTTTCCGCAATTTATTCTATAATTCTACATTTTTTTGGAACAATTTTGGAACAATAATTTAATAAAAAGCATATAACTACCAAAACATAATCCTGTCATCGTTGTGTTGGTTTCGAAAGAAGGGACTGCAGATTCTTTGGTATCGACATTTAAAATCCTCGATGAAAACCAATATAGGCATGAATTGAATTAGGCTTAAGATCTCTTAAATAAAGGGAAAAAATTATCAAATTTATCCACATATAATTATCAACTCAGCCAACCTTACTTAACATAACAATCCCCTGTGGGCAGCACTTGCATTAAAGGATTGCGTTTTTTTTTCACATGACGTATGAGTTATTTTCGACTTTTTCTGAATTTTCTGTGCAATTTCAGTGTTTTTCGAAATTTTCGTGATTTATTAACTTACCTGCACTAAACTTATATTCACTATAAGCCAAGGAATGCGCCACGAACTTCGTTTTTCAGTCAAATCAGCGATGAACTCTCCCGAAATTGGCGATGTTGCATTTAATGGAAGTGTTAGTGCAACCGCATCCGTTAGTGTGTCCGTTTCCGTGACACTTTTGGGACAGACACCGTCTTCGATAGCGGCAATTGAATTGCCGTCGATCATGCCGGCCGCGTTTTTTATGGATGTCGCATAGCACAGGGAAGAATTCGGCACAATATTAAATGCAGTAGTTGCGGTCTTGCAGCGTCCTAGTTTTTTGCGATTAATTCGAAACATTATGGGGCAGGTTCCATTTCTCAAACAGTTTATTAATATGTTCCGACTGCGAAATTGAATAGAAAACCCCTTGAAATGCACTTGAAATCCGCGATAATCACTTGCGCGCGGCACAAAACGAAACAGATTTCGTAGTTTTAATTGCTCGAGCTGATAAGCGCGTTTTAGTTTTAAATAAATTTATTTTTTAATATTACTCTGGTGCGTGATTCACTTCAGACTTCCACTTTATCAAAGAAAAAATACTTGTAATTTCTTATTAAAATATTTTTAAAACAATTTGTATTTTTAGTTTTTGTTTATTTAACACATTGTGTTCTTGCGATTACACGCTTGTGGTGCGCTTCAGACGCTTGTGTGTGCCGTTCGCATTCGCGTCCGCTTTGCTTACCGCAAGACGATCGACTGCCGTGAAATTTATTGTTCGCAAGATTGTTTCTTAGCGCATTTTTAGCCACAATATTCGATCGCTAAAAAACACCAAAAAACACCATCGCAATCGTCGATAACAAACGCTCTGAGCTCAAAGACAGAACAATTAAACACACAGAGAAGTGAATGGCTCTGCCTACTAAGAAAATTAATCGCAACTGAAACGAAATAGAATATCTTCCATCCCAAACGATAGCGATTATTACATGCCTTAAGCTAAAAGTCTCATGAGCTATGAACATACCTATCAGGATTTCGATCGGTATTGTTTACTGTACTTCATCAATCTTCCATCAACTTCTCAACAGAAATCATTGAATATAGCATACCATTGCGAAAAACCACGGCTTGATGGATTAACTAATATTATGATCAAGTCAGGTAAATGAAGTGATTACTCGGAAACTTCGAAAAACAACAAACAGGACTTAAAAACTATTAGAAATTACCTTACACTGTATATATGCATATATATTTATAATATATAACCAGCATCCTTAATTAATCAAAATAAGTGAGAGCTATATTCCACATGTACAATTGGCTACATAAAAGGTGTTAACTATACGGTTACAGTGATTAGTCGCAGTCACCCTAAAGTAACAACGTGTTAGTGATTCTAAGTAGTATTTTAGCACAATTGGAATAACTTCTTTAGACAACATATTGCCACTAACAAAAAATCTATCGGAGATAAGTGGTCGACCGAATAGGCATATTAGTCACCTACATTCCAGGATGCTTATTGCTCAAGGGAATTAAATCAGAAAAGAGAAGCAAGTAGACGTCCATAAATTTATTGGCCACATTATTCGAATCGCACAACTCGCACATATACATTTTTATACCAACAATATTACAATTTTATTTCTACAAGTTCCACCAAAAGTTCGTAAAATAAATATAAAAATCGCTTATCTTATTAATACAAACTATTGTACATAAAGTCGAAACATATTGGAGCTATCAGATGTAGAAGGCGAGTCAACTGCAGCATCTGCCTCATAATCACAAACAGAATCCTTTATGTACTGTTCTATAATGGCGTGCATAATACTTTTAGTGGTCTCTCTCAGAACAGTGTTTGCTCTGGAACCCGGTTCATTCTGAGACAGTACAAAAGTTTCAAGTACTTCCATTATGTTGTTCTCAAGAAGCTCTTCATTCAATTCGCACTTTCCTTCGTCATTAGATTTACTCTTCAACTCACTTTTTCTAATCATCCCCAACTCTCTTGCAATTGCGTGAACTTGGAGCCTTATATCCTCGACCAGGATTTTCGTTATAGAATGCTTCTCATGTAAAATTGATCCACATTTGGAACGATCAGCTTCAAGGCCAACACAACTGATCTGCTTTTTTTCTGAAACAAATAATGTCATAAAATCTGTTTTTTATAATGTCGGCATCTAATAGATTTCAAGTCAACTTACCTTCTGACATCAATTTCTTCCTTTTTGGTGCAATTCCTGAATCATCCGATGGTTTACGTCTCTTTCGTTTGCCTATAGTCGCATCCTCGTTATCTGTGATTAAATGAATCTCGTTATAAAGTTTATAAAATTATTGGATTGGTTTTCTAAAAAAACTTACCTTTGTCTACTGAACAATTCTTTTTTTTATTATCTACAACCGATTTTGTTTCTATGGAAATCTTAGAACCTGCCCAGACATTATTGAAATCAATTTATTATGAACGACATTGATATAAAAAGATGAAATAAAATATAAATAAAAATAAATCGAGTATTTAAATTCATTTTTTAGAGTTCTGACTTATTAATAATTTCTTACCTGAAACATGGTGTGCATGATTAATCGGAAGTCCGTTAGTGACAGACTCGTGCGACGGGCATTGACAATAGCTGATTTCAGACTTCGTCAGAACATCTTTACGACGATTTTTCTTTGTTCCAGAAGTGTGATAAAATCCATCTTTGTAATTGAAGTAACGGAGGCGTGCTCCAGTTGCTAAACCCTCCGTTACTTCCTGAAGAAGCAACTGGTACTTTTTCTTCGACTTCTTTGCTATTTGTTCAGCTACTTGTTCGGCGGTTGAGGGCACTTTCAACTGACGAAGGGCTTTTAGTAGGGTGTTTCCAAATATGACCATATTTAGTTTGTTAGTTTAATTAAAGAATTTTCACAGACAGATTTTTGGTAACTATTTCGAATATATTTTGTTTTAAATGGAAATGAAAAAATGACAAACGCATCAAATTTAACCTAACATCAATGCCAACTACTACAAATTCAAGTTCCTTCAATGAAAAAAGATTAATTAAAATACTTATAAAAGTGATAAAAATATTCGCTGGATTACACCGACTGGAGCGCAGATCAATATTCTCTTGTCGTTTTGGAATAAAAACTCAAATTAGAAATGAGGAAGTTTCTTAACATCAACTTGGTTGATCTTGAGATTCTGATGGATAGAGAAAATGCAGTTTTGAAATATTTTCTTTATCCACTACAAAATTAGGGTGGGGATCTAACCATGACAATATTTTACTAAACCCACAACAAAAGTAAGTTCACTGCGAAGTTTATAAAATGAGCAAACCATTTAGATTTTTAGTTAAATGATGTCTGACAATGACACCACAAAATTGATTCTATCTCCAGCCTAACATAATCGTGATTGAAATATAAGAATCTTGAATATAAGAATCTCACAGATGACTCGCGGTGTTCAACGATTCTCAGAAGGCACATTCATTCATTCTGCAAACATCAACAGAGGAAACCAATTATAATACGTCAGACATTAAGATCTGACTTTCCAACCTGAAGTACAGTTCGGAATATTTGGTGATCATTTACAGCTCTTCCAGCTTTTCGAAAGGAAGAGGTAAGAATAGAGTATATCCATTTATTAATTTGTAGAAAACAGTTTTTTTTGCCACTAAAGTAAAATGAGATTGATTTCATAATATTGACTAAACATTCTGGTACCACTAATCGCATAAAGCCATCCAAAAAAACGTTGCGGCAGAATGGTTGATGTGGTCAGTGTAGATAATGTGGTCTTGTAATAATTGATTTTGCGCCAAATGAATAAATTGATATGATCTTTCATGTTATTAAAATGATTAGGGCATGTATTGATATCGGCTATCTATTTCCAAGATAGGAACTACTATCTGCTTTTTCTGCGTACAATAAACACTATGGCGTCTGTTAATCAGTGCTCAAGTGGCATCAATTATCCAGGGCATGCGTTATTTATTTAATACACGCAACAAATTGTTCTAATAACTAATAAGTTACATATCTGCTTGATCTCATCCCAGACTTTGTATGGTCACGTAGGCTTTAATCCTCATTGACCTACTGCTATCACTAAGTCATTATCGCTGAAACAGCTGGTAGCTCGGAATCACTTTACACCAACAATGTGTTTGATTTTGGTACGTATTTTCGAAGTTTGCCAAATGTGTTTATGAATATCGAGATGTAGAAATCACTTACCATAAATGGGTCCTTTCTTCTGTCAGCATATCGTTCTCTTAGAATAGCTTGTGGTGTGGTTTGTTTCTGCCAATTTAAGCAGAAAAATCGCCTAACAAAAGCAGTAGATCTCGATTAAACGGTCTTTGTAATCATCGTTAGCATCGTGCATAGGTGCTTAGCACTGAAAGAGTCTATAATTATGAAATGTGCATCGAAAATTGATAACTAATTATCATATCAAGTGCTGAGGAAGAATCTCAAACTGTGAATACCTAGCGTTCATCATCTCAAACAGGCCTATAGCCTTCAAACTGTAAACATTTCATGAATTATTAGTCGAATCCAAATTTGGAACTGCTGGATTGAATTTCGCTTTCACAAATGAAATGATTTTGGTTTTTATTGATGATGAAGAGGTGAAAGTAGGGTTCACATTGCCGAAATCATCAGTTCTACAACTGTGCGGTTCGTGAAAAATAGAAAGCTATAGCTCCCAAACTGTGTTATTTGATATCTGATTAGTAAAGACAACAACCGCAGTTTTGAAAGTGTTGTGTATTAAACACTGTTTCTTGCTTGAGAACTGTTTAGTCCGACGTGTTCAACAGTATTCGCTGAGTGTTTTCCAGACGGGCACATTGTATTCGAGCAAACATCAGAAGACGTGTTGTGTGCACAATACGGAAATGCGAGTGTTTGAGATGTTAACCCAGAATTTGCTTCCACAGTTTGTCAAAAAGGTTTGTGCAGTGGCTACCAGTAACTAACAAACTTCAACAAATCCTTCCGAACGAGTGGCATATATCGGTCGGAGTATCAATTTGGTCAACGTATCAATTGGTTTGTCTACTTCAATTTCTTTCTCAATTTCAGGGGCAGAATAGAACGTGACTGGGTAGCTAATGTCGCAACATTCAATTGGAGGAATGCACAGTTATTCGCTGAACTTTCCTGAGAATAACATTTCTTACATTTATAGTAGTAGTAATTTACACATTTATGTGGAATTACTAATGTCTTGAATCGCAGAAGATATCATTAAAAATACAACAAATGGACATATATCTAACATCAGTGTGATCTGTCGATATTATCGGGGGAATTATTCGTTATCAAATTGCGTCGAAGAAACACGTCCAATCGTGCTGACTCGATTGGAAATGTTTAGTAGTGTTCTGATCATTTAAAACTTCAGTGAAGTCATTGAATCCTCGAAATTTCAATTTATTGCTTTAAATGCATAATTTTCTCTTCCAAATATTGTTCGATTTAAACTATGCACCCAGTCAAAGCTTAAAACTATATTTGATGGGTTTGGAGAACTAAACTGTCCTGATATATGTCATTAGTAAACTTGTTTACGAAATGTTTCTTTAACATAGATCGAAAGTTAAATCTCACCAACAGAACACTTATGTGTCAATGAGGACAGTACAACACAATAATAATAATTCTAGACATAAAATGTTGAAAAAGTAAGGCAATATCCTAGCAATATGGAATATCCTAGCACCCTAGGAGTTTGAATGTTGACAAATAAACACACTGCAACTTTACCAAACACCAATCGCGCTGGTGTGATATATGCTGACAAGACGTTGACTCGACTCTGAGAAAAATGACATACGAAAAGTGTTCAGAGATGTATATAGTGCAGTAAATCGGAACTGCATTTGGAGATTTCGAAAACGTATGTTGTAACTACAACACAAATCGAAAGATTTATATTTGTAAGGCATATATTTAGAGTGAATAATGGCTACCCACTCCCGACATTCGTAGTATACATTACTTACATATACCCACTTAGGAGAGAAATTGTAGGGGGTTTACTTAAATTGATACTGACTGAAGGCAAATCCTAATGCAGACAAAAATCGAATATGGATTGAACAGTCAAATATGGCAATGAATTCAAAGATCACAATTCATTCAATGATAACAACAGCTAAGTTATTAGCTATTATTAGTTATTAGACAGATTAAAAAAAAACATAAGTAAATTCTGTCCACAATTTAAATCGTAAGATATTCCACCTCTTTAACGGATGTTGACAATATCTACACATTCATAATATATTAAGAATACTGCCAAACAAAAATGTTCAATAATTATATATTGTCGTTGATGTAAGCTAATGTCAAAAAAAAAAAAATAATAGCATAAAGTCCAACTAATTTTAATTATTTCCTAAGAATTTAATAAAACGAAATAAAGCGTACAGGATTTTTAACGTTTGAGTTAGCAATTCTGAATATCAATATTGTATTACTTGAGGAACGCTTTAGTATTGTTTTTTTAAGTAGAGTTGTTTAAACCGCATGAGAATTAAAAATACTTAACTTGCGTGATTAATTCATGCGTCATTTATAAACGATTCAGAAACTTTTTAATTTATTTTGACATTATGGCTAAAGCCTATAATATGTGACTCAAGATTTATCCGAAAAATTTCACCATAAAATATATGGATTTGCTTTTATTGTTTTATTATGGTTTACAGATTGTTGTGGAATTCAATTGGTGCTGTAGAAGTGGAAAAAAGAAAGCACAAAATATATTTTACATTGAAAAATAAATTACAAAATATTTATGTAATTGGAACACACATAATAAGAATTAAATAAAATATTAAACTCAATTGAACTTTGACTAACCAGTAGTCATGTTGATTTTTAAAATAATCATCTTGAGTCTTTTTACTATATAAAATCCAAATATTTGAATTATTATCAAGCAATTTATTCATTAATATATTCTTAAACAAAACTGATATATATATAAAAATACTGAATTTTCATTGTTTTCATTCTAGAAAAAATTTTGTGACTTTTAAACTGTTTAAATATATAGCAGGGCTTAACCGCATTAAGAATGGCTTACAATTTTAAGACAATCAAAACAAACCCAGAAGGCCAGTGAGCATAGAATTAGTACATTAATACTATTGCTTATGGCACTACATATATACATATATATTCTATATCGACATCTATAATATATCTTCTAACAAATCATAAACCCTCGTACTGTGTCAGAAGACTCTACTCATGTTTATATAGCTTTATATATCTCAAGGATCATAGTAATTATCCTATAAAGTCGAGTACTAAGTAATTGAAAGCAATAAGCGGGTGCCTTTAGTTTGAAATGCACTTTCAAGAACTTTGTGCTAAAAATATGTGATGCTTTTTTATTTTATATTAGGAACTTAAAGCTCTTTTGCGCAAGTTGCAGAGACCGCAAGTAATATAGACCGTAATAATACGGTCTTCATTATAATTTTACGGTTTTCTTGTGGGTTTGCACAGCCATAGCTACATTCTACTTTCTGCTGATAAAATACATGGAGGTCAGTTGAAAAATAGTGAACGACAACAACAAAAATTCATTTTACATTCTTTTATTTAATTGTTTCTAGTATTGCCAAATATCCATCATCAATGATCTTCGAAATAATTCTTGTATTTAATTATTCGTAAATAATTTTTTGAGACTGCAACTACTAGGAATCAAACTCGTGCCCTGCCAAATTTGAAGCTCAGAGTCAACGCTCCTTAATCAACTGACCCAAAGCCGTACTTGACCTACCTATATGTTTGCATATTTTTCTGGAGATTTGTTAATTTACTGTGAAAGTTTTGTTAACAAATTTACTTGCTATTATATTATTATGTTTTTATATAATTTTTATTGTTGTAGTTCACTACTTTTCGAAAAAACCATTT